CATCGTTACCGTCGTAATCATCACCACCACCCATGACATTAACATAACCATCGAGCACATCATCATCATCATCATGATCATCAACAGCATCAACAGCAGCAGCATCATCAGCAGCAGCATCATCAGCATCATCAGCATCATCAGCATCATCATCATCAGCATCATAATCAGCAGCAGCAACAACAGCAGCAGCATCATTATACCACCCTGAACATCACCACCATCATCATCAGCAGCATTAGCATCTGCATCAGCATGATCATCATCATCGTCAGCAGCATCATCATCATCATCGACATTATCACTCCCAGTATCATCATAATCATCATCGTCATCATCGTCGTCATCATCAGCATAATCATCAGCAGCAGCATCACCATCATCCGCATACCATCGTCGTCATCATCATCATCATCATCATCATCATCATCATCTTCTGCATCATCATCATTAGCAGCATCAGCATCGTCATCAGCGTCATTAATATCAGCCTCAGTGTTGTTATCATCACTGTCATCATCATCAGCATCAGCACCCTCATCATGATCATCATCACCACCTAGCACCATTGTCATCATCATCAGGGGAAGTATCAGCATAAGCATCATCAGCAGCAGCCTCATCATCTCCAACAACATTATCATCAGCAGCCGCAGCATCATCAGCAGCATCATCCTCGGAATCGCCATCATCATCACTATTATCGTCATCGTCGTCGTGGTCATCACCATCATCAACACCATCATCATGCACCCGTCACATCATATCATAAACGCAGCCAATCGCATGACCATCATCATCATCACCACCACCACCACCACCCTCATCATCATACACACCATCGTCGTTCCCCTCCCCTTCGTCCTCTCCCCCCTCCTGCCCCACTTCCTCGTTCTCCCCCTCCGCCCTCGAGACCGACCCCTGGCCCACTCTCGGGGTTCACCTAGACCTCAGTGGCAAAGGGAATCCAACCGTGGCGGCGAGAAGCGCCCTGGAGGTCCAAACAACCAAAACACCTCGATCCTCGACCCTCCGGGTCGGGGTCACGGCCGATCTCGATACTGTTTGCCCTCTGTGAGGGGGTCTGTGGCTGTGGATGTCAAAAGAAATCCTCCTCCCTCTCCTCCTCCTCCCCCTACCCCTCCTTTTCCTCCTCCTCCTCCTCCTCCTCCTCCTCCTCCTCCTCCTCCTCCTCCTCCTCCTCCTCCTCCCAGCAGCCAGGATCTCCAACGTTTCATGGGGGGGAAGAGGGGAAGAGAACGACGAAACGGCGACGACGTGGAGGTCTGTTACGAAACTCACACCAAGCGGCGAGAGGGTAGAAGGGACGGTGAAGCCAGTGCAGTGGCAGGTCATCTGCCTCTGCACCTTCTCTCCCGCCGCCGCACCTGCCGTTCGTTTGGCGCACCCTCTCCAGCCGCCGCACCTGCCACAGGTGCGGCAGCGGGGAGAAGGTGCGCCAAACGGGCTCGCACAGGAGGTGGAGGAAGGCAGTCTGGCGAGACCAAAAACACGGCGGCAGGTCCAAACGGCTGGTAGAGTGGCGGCGCGTGCGACCGAGTGGTCCACGGCCGTCCCTAGCCATCGCCAGGGCAGCCTATGCCGACAGGGTTTTGCGCCCCCCCCTCTCCCTAGAAGTGGAAGAAGTATTGGTGAATGGGGGGACAAGGTGTAGGGAAGACTCAGTGAGAGGGCGTGTAAGTAGGGATGTAAAGGTTGGTGTGAGGTGGTTTTCTCAGATGGTTTCGCCGTTGTTGTTCTGCCGCTGTTCGCCGTCATCCGTCCACCCACCGAAGTTGGAAGATGCTGCGAGTCGGAAAGACCCTGCAATTGGATTGGATGGTCGATGGTGTAGCCGCTGCCATTCGCGCGTCGAACTACTTGCAGTCTAAATGGCCACCAAAGTGCGCCCACCGATGCTGAAAAACAGGTCGGAAAAGCTGCCGCCGTAGGTTGGATGTAAACGAAGACGGAGGAAGTCCCGATCTCGCCGCTGCGGTTGGAAAGACCCCCGCTGCCTGCAGCCTGGGCCGAATGGTTGACGGCGCTGCAGAACACAATTGGGAAAGTGGCGCAGATGTATGGAGCTACTCGCGAGCTTGCTTCCGTAGTGGGGCTCTCGAGGTGAAGCGTTCGCCTCCGTGCCCGGGGAGACGTTGACGAGCCAGTGAGCGCAGTGACAGCTCGTGAAAGGCTGGCCCATGCCACGGGCCTGCTTGTGCTGCATCGGCAGGAGGGGAGTCGGACGTGGCCGAAGCCCCCTGTGGCGGTGGTGAGCAGTGGGTGTGTCACACGCGGGCTCGTGAGCCTGTCTCCTCAGGCTTCGGTCGTGAGCTTAGGCGTCTCGGCTTGGTGGTTGGTGGTCGCCTCCGCTGTGTGGTAGCCGATATGGGGGTCATAGCCGTCGGTATCCGCAGTTACGTTGAGCTGTGGTGATGTCCCGCGTCGTCGTCCTTTGAGCCGATGGCCGTCATATCCGCGGATGTACGGAACTGTGTCGTTAATGCGGCTTTGGCCCAACGTTTGATCACATTGACATATCCAGGAAGATGATTCGCCGTGGGCGTCTTTCAATCCGACACAAAGCCTGCAGGAATCCTCCTACCGCCAAACCTGACAGACCAAAAACGAGTTGCCTCACAGCACAACGCCCAACGACGTTCAAACTACGTTGCGCCAACGCTTTAGAACCGAACTAAGCCAGGACAGCCAACCAACCAACCAACCACGCCCTCAGCAAGCAGGCGCCTTGTCAGAAGCTGGCACCGCTATTTCGAAAGCCCATTGAGAGACACTCTGAGAGGAGCTCGTAGACAGGGCAGGATGAGGGAGTCGAGAGGAAAGGAGCAAGGAAGGAGGGGAAGGATGAGAGAGAGAGAACCAAAAAGCCACTGAACCACAACAACCACAACAACAGCAGCCGCAGCAACAACCGCAACAACAGCAACAGCAACAGCAACAACAGCACCAGCAACGACAACACCAACGACAACAACAACAACAACAGCATCAACAACAACAACAACAACAACAAAAACAAAAAACAGCATCAACAGCAACATCAAGGCATCAACGCCTATGTGTTCCCCTCCCCACCAACGAGGGGGGGGCCAGCAGCCAGCTGCCGGCAGCCAGCACTCATACATCAACTAACCACGAAATCCGCGGGGACCCAAATAGGGGACAACTCGGCCCTGCCTTCGCCAAACGATCGCGCGCTGGCGAAGCAACGCCTCCGGTTGCCTCCTCCACTGGGAACCTGTTACGGGTGGATGGAGCCCTAATAGCATCCAATTAGGGATGGATGAAACCCCAAGGGATCCTGTTAGGAGTGGGTGGAACTCTAATAAAATCCTGTAAAAGGATAGATAGAGTTCTTATAAGATCCCCTTAACGATGGATGGACCTCTTATAAGATCCTCTCCGGAATGAATGGAGCTCGAACAGGATCCTGTTAGGAGTGGATGGAGCTCGAATAGGATCTTTTTAGGGATGGATGGAGCTCTAAAAGGATCCTCTTAGGGATAGATGGAGCCCTGATAGGATCCTGCTAAGGATGGATGGGGCTCTAATAGGATCCTGTTAGGGATGGATGGAGCTCTGATAAAATCCGGGTAGGGATGGACTAAAAACTCGAAAAACATCGCACTAGGGATGGATGGAATTTTAGGGGACCCTGTTAGGAGTGGATGGAGCTCAAATAAGATCCTGTTAGGGATGGATGGAAATCTGAGGGGTCCTGTTGGAAGTGAATGGAACTCTTACAAGATCCTGTTAGGGATGAATGGAGCTCTGAGGAATCCTGCTAGGGAGTGATGGAGCTTTAAAAGGACCCTGTTAGGAGTGGAACTCGAATAGGATCCTGTCAGGGATGGATGGAGCTCTAATAGGACCCTGTTAGAGATGGATGGAGCTATAATAAGATCATGTTGGGGATGGTTGGAGCTCTTATAAGGTCCTGCTAGGGATGGATGGAGCTATAACA